CAAGCGGTGAAAACGCAGACGTGGATGAACACGACAGACGGCTCCGCATCGGCGGCATCACTATCACCACCAAAGGCTACGCCAGCCGCGGGCAGCCACATGGAGTCCGAAGAGAACACCACCAAGAAAGAGGCCGAGGAGTTCTTAGAGCGCCGCAGGTCGGCGGCCGCCGGGAAGGGCGAAGCGCCCCCCCCCCCCCCCCCACCCCCGACGACCGCAAGGGACTACAGCGGAGGGGCAAGCGACCCGCTGGCGACGCCGAGCCCCTGGATCGCGCCATCTTTCTCGCCGACATCACGACGTGGGGGCCCAGGGTGATGAGCTGGATGCGACGTGGCGGACTTCGTGAAGGGTGCAATGTCTATGCGTTGCAGGAGGCGCACATCCCCTGGGCAAAGACAGGCACCGCGGAACGTGGCTTGCAGAAGGCGGGCTTCGCAAGTAGCTTTACCGCGGCACGGAAAAGCGAGAAGAGCTTATCAGGCACCCGAGGTGGCACAGTTGTCATCGCAAAGGGGCACCTGGAAGCGACATCATTCAAGCACCGCGCCAAGCCAGAGATCACCTCCAACACACGCAGCCACGCCGAGACAGGGGGCCTCGACACGTGCGACTGGGCGCCAGTCACGCTACACCTGAAGGGGGCGTCTTTGGCAATCGCATCCATCTACCTCGGCCCGAAGAGCAGCGCTCAGCACGGCGCGGACGCACGCAAGTTGACGACGCTGGCCTCCTTCCCTCCCTACCTCCCTTTCCATGCCGCGGCTGGTCTGCGGCGGCCTCGAGATTGTTTTTTTATCCTCTGGGGGGTAACGCTCGTTACCCGGGCTTCTCCCCCCCCCCCCCCCCCGTAACGGTAACGCTCGTGCGCGGGGGGGGTCTCGGTCTTCCCCTCCAACATGCTGGTGCCCGAAGGCATGCGCACTGTGGTGTGATGGTCGCAGGCGCACTGTGGGCGCCTGCGACCACGTCGTCGTCGTCGTCGTCGTCGTCGTCGTCGTCGTCGTCGTCGTCGTCGTCGTCGTCGACGGCGCTCGAAAACGGCCTCCGGAGGCCGAAACAGGCGGCAAACGTCGTCGTCGTCGTCGTCGACCTCGTCGCTCGTCGCTCGTCGATCATCGTCGGCGCGGGCGTGGTGCCGGGACCACGCGGCGGGCTTTGCGCTTGTACTCGAATCGCAAGCCACTGTGGTGCTCTCAGGCAGAGAGTGCTGCTCGCGCGCATACTATGGCGATCGCAGAGCGCCCCTGCCTCGCCATACCCCGCCCAGCCCAAGCGTTACCGTTACCCGGGGGGCACGACCGCCCCCCCCCCCCCCCCGGGTAACGAGCGTTATCGGCCAGAATAAAAAACAATCTCCTCAACATGGCGCATCGCGACTTCGAGAAGACAGGATGGCCAGCAGCGCTCGGAGCAACCAGCGCCATCGGCATCCCAGACAGCCAGCGCGCATGCAACCTTGGCGAGGCCTACTCCAACATCGACTCTGCGCTGACCAACGAAGGCGGGCAGCGATTGATGCGAGGAGTTCGACCAATCTACGACGCGCCATGGAAGCCGCACGCTGGGCTGGTCATAAGCATGCGCGCAGCAGCTGAAGCTAACGGGAGCAGACGACTACAACTACCACGCCAATTGCCCCACCCACCTCAACCGAAATCAAAGGCAAGAGTCAAGAACAAGAAGAAGGAGAAACGACGCAGAACTATACACCCAACGCCACTAGAGGACCCAGCAGCCACAACGACCAACGAGACCGACAACCTACGTTGCGAAGCATTGCGACCGACGGGGTGGGCGACTTCCCCAACCAATACCCCCGCGGCACAACCGCCCAACCATATGGGCGAAGCTGACCACGACCCATTCGAAGACATCTACGACCCCTGGGGAGACGTTGGACTGGAACAGCACGCACTGCAGGGCAGCGTTGAAGACGGGCCGCAGCTGGAAGGATTCGAGTCAGAACGGCGACGTGGGTGCTCCTCGAGCCCATGCGTGCACGCGCCGCCAACGTCTTTCGCTGGACTCTCGCAAAAGTCAGAACGGCCACGCGGGTGCTCCTCGAACACACGCGAGCACGCGTCGCCAACGATTTTCCCTGGACTCGCTTCTGTGTCAGAACGGCCGCGCGGGGGGGGGGCCCACGCGAGCACGCGTCGCCTACAAGTCTCGCTGGACACACCCCCGCAGCCCGAAAGGATTCGCCCCGGGACAAGCAAGATAGCGACCAACTGATGGAACGGATCCTGCCCAACGCCCACGGAGCCGACACACATGCAATGGATAATGCATGGGAAGTGGCAGCGATACTTCTACACAAGGAGACCCAGCACCACGCCCCCGACTACATCAAGAAGAACGCAGCATACCGCGCGGACACAATCGGAGCGGAGTGCCTGGGACGCAGGCGCTACCACTTCACCGGGGCACTCGAAAAGTTCAACTGCGCGGCGTACAAGATGCCCCCCTCTGACAGAGCTACAGTCTGCGGACGAGGCAAGCCACGTCGCTACGAGGGGCAGCAGCTGAAGGAGAAAGGGGACCGCCGACACAGGTACGCATCACACAGAACGGATTGGTAGAACCCAACGCAGACAGCACTACAATCACTGGCCAAACTACGGGAACGGCAACGCGGCCTACAGCAGCAACGGGAGCCCGCCAACGCGGGCAAACGTCTCGCACGCGAAGGCCTACCACCAGCAGATACGACGGCGACGACTACAGCGCGACTCCACAGAGACCCATGGAAGGCCAGAACGGAGCAGCTGGAGATCATCCCGCTGGACACGCGGAAGGGAATGGCCGAGCAAGCAGGACATGAAGCACGACGCGCACACACAAAGGACATGCAGGATAGCAGCACAAGCGGACAAGCACAACGGATCACTCCACAAAATCACCCAGCCACCACCAAGACGGGAAACGGAGATCCACACAGGCACAAAGACATTGTGCAGCCCGAAGGACATGACTGACCACAAGACCAGGACATGCATCAACATATGGCCATGCGAAGCCACGCCGCACGACGAGCACACGGAGTACCTCACCGCCGTCCGAGCCAAGGCCGCAGAGCAGGAAGAGCACGAGCCCTGGACGCTAGAAGACCTCGACAAGAGCATTAAAGGAGAACCCGACAAGGGAAAGGGTGTAGACCTGATCTGCATCAGCGACATTCGGCGCCTCACGCGCTGGAAAGCGCTGGTAGACCTCTTCAACGAGTGCGAGCACCACCTCACCTGGCCCCGGCAGCTCCTCACCGCCATCGTCACGATCACCCCCAAGCCCACGAAAGGTGACAGAGCCCTAGCACTCCTACCACAGCTGGTACGTTGTTGGGAGCTTCCCCACCGGCAGCGAGTGCGACGTTGGGCACGTCAACGCGGACGTGAATGGGACGCGGCGATCGAGGGCAACGGCTGCCTACGAGAATCCCTACGTCGCCTCATCACGCACGCATGCGCCGACACCATGGACAGTTGGGAATCAGTGCTGCTGGCCGA